ACCTGCCAAAGGATCTCGCGTTGCATGATCTTTTTTCAATCCAAACCGATTGTAGGAATTTGGATTGGAATATTTGCAAGTGCCTCCGTGTACAAACCTGGACTGACTCATATGGACTGGAGTCATAGTGTGTCAATATTGCATTGACTCATTTGTAGTACATAGTTACTGTGCATTGAGTCATTGACTGTGCAATGATTCTAAATGACTCATAATGACTTTACATGACTTGCCTGGACTTAAAGCAAGTCAATTCCTTATGTAGTGTAGTATACAATTGTATAGTATATAAGTACCTAGTTTTATGGAATGAGACTCCATCGGGTTGTTGACCCAGGGCTTTACCCATCTCTACCCTCTGGTGTGCTTTTGTCCCACATTTGGAGGATGAGCGTAGCTTGTATCTGAATTTTCCCCCTTTACAACAACACAACCCGATACCACCCTTGTAACTTGCAGCCTTTGTACAGTGTGTACATTGACTGGACCTGGAACCTTTGACTGTGCAGGTAGCACAATTAAAGCTGTAACTGAAGTGGATATTGTACAGGTAGTACAACCACTGCACCCATAACTGAAGTGGAGATTGTACAGGTAGTACAACCACACCGTAACCCCGGATTGCACAGAAAGTGTGCAACAGCATAACCGTAACCCCGGATTGCACAGAGAGTGTGCAACACACGTAACCATATTACCGTAAGGATTGTACAGGTAGTACAACAGAGGTAATATTACCGTAAGGATTGCACAGGTAGTGCAACAGAGGTAACCGAAACCGAAACCCCCGGATTGCACAGGTAGTGCAACAGACGTAACTCGAAACCCATCCAGATTGCACAGGTAGTGCAATAGTATCTGGACCGTAACCGTAACCCGCAACTGCACAGGTAGTGCACTGTACCAAAATTGTGACTCACATTGACTATTGCCGTGGGAAATTGGAATTCCCGGAACCAAAATTTGATCTTGTGACCGCAAACCCGCAACGTATAAGTAGCACTTGTTGTGTTCTGCACCCCAGCTGAACCCCGAAATTTGGAACCCATATTGAATTGTAATCATGGCTTCTACTACACCGCTACATTTTACACTATTGAATGACACCAACTACGAAACATGGCAGATTCAGATGGAAGCTGCTCTTATTGAAAGGAAACTTTGGAATGCAGTTAGCATTACCATTAACCCAAAGAAATCAGATGGATCTGATAAGACGGAAACTGAAATTATGGCAGAATATGGATCTACCAAGAGAGCTAGAGATTCTGCAGCAATGGCCGAAGCTAGGGCAATGATGATTATGCGTGTTGATCCCAGCCAATTGTCACATATGCGAGACCGTGACCCTATGGAGATCTGGAATAATCTCAGGAATGTCCACCGTGCCCGTGGATTTGCAACAAGTTTGGCATTGCGTCGTAAATTCCTTACAGAGAAGAAAGGAACAAGAAGCATGCAAAGTTGGATTGGTCATATCCAGACTTTGGCATTTATTATGGAGGAATCTGGAATACATGTGAATGACCAGGATAGGATTTTGGCACTGACAATGGGATTACCCCAGAATATAGTGCTGTCATTATCAACTTTGATTCAACCTCACCCGGAATGCTCACGTATGAGCATGTTATTACTAGATTGTTGAATGAGGAGACTAGGCAGGATTCTCTCCCACAATCTGATGTCGGAAACCCTGTATTGGAGGGTGCATCTGCTGCATTTACTGGCAGGAGACGTCCCAAATCTCAGGTTACTTGTTTTTATTGTCAGAAGAAGGGCCATTACAAATCTGAATGTCCCGACCTTGAGAAGGAAAGCAAAGCTCACTATGCCGATGATATTGACTTTGCATGGTAGAATTTTTATTCTTACCAACTTATGAATCAGGGGGTGTTAAAACATACCTGATATTCTTTTGTGTGTCTATTAATTTTTATTGTTGTACACTTTGACACTTGAGGGGGTGTGTAGGAATTTGGATTGGAATATTTGCAAGTGCCTCCGTGTACAAACCTGGACTGACTCATATGGACTGGAGTCATAGTGTGTCAATATTGCATTGACTCATTTGTAGTACATAGTTACTGTGCATTGAGTCATTGACTGTGCAATGATTCTAAATGACTCATAATGACTTTACATGACTTGCCTGGACTTAAAGCAAGTCAATTCCCTTATGTAGTGTAGTATACAATTGTATAGTATATAAGTACCTAGTTTTATGGAATGAGACTCCATCGGGTTGTTGACCCAGGGCTTTACCCATCTCTACCCTCTGGTGTGCTTTTGTCCCCACATTTGGAGGATGAGCGTAGCTTGTATCTGAATTTTCCCCCTTTACAACAACACCGATGAGCCTTGAAAGGGCCGTTTTTGGCGCCTTGACCGGCCAGATCGGATGCCTGAACGGGGAGAGCATTATTTGGTTGATCTGGTGCTCGAGCAGTGTGAACGCCAGCTTGGTGCGTAGATGTAGATTCCGTTGCAGTTGCCACTTGGATCTGGGGCGAGGGGTGTGCAGATACACCATGAGAACCTTCGTCCACACCTAAAGACTCCTCCAGTACACTCTCTGCACGAGGTAGCGTTGAAAACTCTGCTGGTGTAGAAGGTTGGATCGTATGATCCTCAGTGACACCCAGAGATTCAACCGACAAGTTCCCGGATGAAATGTGAGCAACTAGGGAGGAGTTTCCTTGAATATTGCTTGTTAGCTGAGATGTTACCGGCGTGGAAGCTGGATGGGCGGGGCCTGGACTGGATCGCAGTATGGAAGCCTCACGCTCCTCGCGCGCCTGCATCATGGAATGCATACTACGCATGAGCAAGAGCATCTCCTCTGAATAGTCTAGCCCAGGTTGATTATTGTCAAAAGAAGCTTTAGAAGCTTGCCCCATTGGTTAGCGTAGTAGAACGGTAGTAAAGGTAGGTAGGTTACCGCAGGTAGGTAGGTAGGTTAACCGGCGCGGTCCAGTTCAGAAACAGCCGGGTTCCACGCTACACATATTGCGCCAGTAATATGTGCCGTGGGTATCCACCGCAAGGTGTAGAAGACAGCTTCAGCGTTCATCAAACAAACACTGCCATGTAGATATCGTCCTGCACCAAAAAGGCCAGGCGATAAGTACCGGTGTCGCGTCTAAATAGTAAATTGCTTGGGTTTCACATAAAATTCAAAGGGCAAGTGAACTCAAGTGAAGCTGCAAAATGCAACGAGGATTAGATTTTTGATCATTCTTCAATTTCTTGTGGAATCGAAAAGATCATGATCGCATTGCGCGCCTATTTACTTCTTCAACGATAACGACAACGGAGAAACGCCTTTGGGGCAGGATGAGATGCTTGAGCTTCATATGTACTATATATAAGCACCTGAAAGATAGAGCTCTTAGAAGTTCGAGATTCGAACAGCGATTTGGAAAGAAAAGTTTTCATGTTCAGATACATGCACAAGATACAAAGATACATATATAAGTTACTACCCTACGACGGGCAATATATCGTCTACATCATCAGGATCATCACCTTCCTGTTCTTCCTCTTCCTCCTCCTCGTCATCCTCCTCTCCATCGCTCGCTTCACTTTCGCTCTCATTAAAAGTCAGTGATATATACTCATCGCCCAACTGGGCATCATCAGCGGATACAGGTTGCACTCTAGATTCACCTTCAGGAACAGTCGTCTCAGGAGAAGAGGTTGTGCCAGAGGTCGACGCAGGCTTCCTGTTGCGATTTGCTCGAATCACATGCGGAAGTTTGCATCCCTTAACAGTGCAGGTACCCTTCTCGGCAAAATCCGGGCACTCCCTAACGTGTTGCTTGTCGCAATCTAGACCTTTATCGCAGTATCCTAGGACAGCAAAGTCGCGGCATATGCCCTGACGAGCGCCCACGTTTACATGCGGATAGAGGCAGTTTGGACGAGTACAACGGCCTTTGTTGAGGAAGTGGAGGCAGAGAGGCGTACGTTGGGGCGTGGGGTCGTGGGATAGGTTGCAAGTATCAGCAGTGTTGGGACAGTTATCTTGCAGAAAATTCCAGCAAATAGCGATCTTGGAGGGGTCGTGCTGGTATGCGCAAGTAAGGCCATGTGAGCAGGAACCTATAATGAACACAAAAAAAAAGCAAGGGTCGTTGATGGGTAAATATCGTCCAGAGAAAATTTGCTCTGAATATGCCTTGGTCTGGAACGGACGACAGCGCACCTGTTGTTGAGAACCGGGGACATTGTTTGTCGGAGTACTTCATACGCTTGTGGGCTCGTCTAGCTCTGCTGGAGGTTAGATAAAAACGCATGCCTAGATCCAAAGGCCAGACGGACTGATAGGGTCTACGACCGTTTGTGAGGGTCATATTGTGGTTGGATAGCCCACCTCTGCGGCCACGCGAGGATTTTGGCTTGTATACACGGTTGGCTGCTAGAAGATGTCCTGATTTTCGATTGTAGGGTGGAGCTGCTGGTGTTGGCGGGGCGGAAGAGGATTTCGGGACTGGAAGAAGTTTAGATCTGGTGGAAGAAAGAGGAAATAGCTCACGGTCTTTGCGAACTAGTGAGCGGCCAGAAGATTGAAAAGCAACGCCATTTAAGACGACTTCTTTGGCTAGTGTTGTCGATGTCGTTGAAAGCTGGTTCGGATGGAGAGAAGTCCGTTGGGGCGCCGAGTCGGGGCACGTACATATTTGTTGGCGGGCTTGTAGTTTGGATTGACGTACGAGTTGCTTCGGTATCCTGTTGCTGGGCGAGTCGATAAGGTCGATTTGTGCATGTTGATGGAGGCTACAAAGCTTATGGGATTGTTATCTCATACAATAAGAGAATTCGTACCTGTGAGTCTTGCTATTTCGTGTTTGAGTTGCGCTTCTGAAGAAGAAGAGGCCATCGTGGTGGTTCAAGTGAAAGTGAAAGTACTACGGAATATAACAAAAGGATTGGATTACTAACCAGGATTGGCTCCAACACTACTACGTCAAACACCAGCTTGAATGGCTTGTAACCACGGCCTGATGGTCTAGGAGTATGATTCGTTGTTAGGGTTTACGCTTTCGACGAGGTCCCGGGTTCAATTCCCGGTCAGGCCCTAACCAAGAGCGCGATGGATAGTTTTAATTATTTTCCATATCACTCTTTGCATCCGTGTTGGCACCATCATTCAGTTGACAAGTGGAAAAGCAAATTCATTGGCGCAGGGCGATCTTAAATGAGACGCGAGATCTTTTGTCTACCTTTGATAAAACTCACTCATGCACCACTATTCTCTCCCTGACCAATGCCGTTCGCCTCGGAGGCACATTTGCTCATATCACTATCGCTCGGCACACCTGGAAAGATAGCCAAAAGCTGGAACTTGCTCAACTCCTTTTCTACTAGTACATCCAAGTTGTATAACATACGAGAAAATATTTCGGACTCTACAAACGGTGGCCATTTATCCATCGGCTCTTCCTTGTTACACTCCGAGTGTGTCTTAAGTATAACGATTTCTCAGGATTTCTCTAACAAGTGGACAGTATTTCATCTAGGGACGCGCTGGACCGAAATGCTACAATGGTACTTGCGCTTCAGTTGGCTCATTCGAGAAGCTGTATCTCTAGACAGTTGATGGGACTCCGATTAACTTTCCTCCTGGCACGTCGCCAGTTACACTCACTCACAAAAGACCTACGGCTAACTGTTATACCCAACGGCTCCTAGGAAGAGAGCTCGGTGATTCTGATGCTGGAGAGATCTCAATCGCCACTTGCTTGGGCGTTCTTGAACCACAAGGACAAACGGGAGCTGAGCCTACCTCATGCTCATCTCCGAAGGAGCGCTAGCTAAAACGCTAATGCCTCGAGCGAGTGTATCGTCCTGCCATATCTCCGTCATAGTATATCCAAAGATACTACCACCCATAAACACAGGCTGTATTGGGCGAAAAGATCACCTGCGATGGTGTGGGAGTTGAACTATATCAATACTCAACCAGCGTTAGCAAGTAAACGAAGTGTACTGTTACAGGCCCAACCTCACCTCAGTCGATATAGGAGCAAATGAGGTGGCTTGAAAACGCTGTAAGTGCGATCTGGTATGAACTGCATATATCCCGAGCGCGGCGTATACGAAGCTAGTGATGTCAAAGCGAGAGATACGAAGTCCAAGTGTGTATGGTGATACGAACAAATACGGAGGTATCGCGGGGTACACTAAAGTCGTTCTGAATCTTCCTGGATGTGCTTCGTCCAATCAGAAGTTCTCAAAAGCTTGAGCATAGTAATTTCGATATTATCTATGTATCCCATCCAACATCTCATGCGTATTCCATGCATACAGTACTTCATGGCATGACATCTTCTTCCATCCTTCGTATGGCCCCAGTCAAAACGTTATCAACATCACTCAAACTAGTCTCCTTTCTGAACACTTCCATATACATCTCTCCACTATTGAAAGTTCCCTGGCCTACATTACGACCAATATGCCAATGCTGAGGACTCTGGCCTCGCGAAAACACCTCCTGTATGCCACGATCACTAACATTTGAGAAACTCAAACTCAGCTTATGATCTTGTAGAACGAGATATTTCGACGAACCTCTGCAGTAAAGCCTGGGCATTGAATAGATGTATCGAGGTTGAAGCAAAATGTTCGGAATCACTGTGAACTGAAAAAGGTGCTTGGTCCCGAGCAAAGATATGTCGATCTTTCGGCTGTAGGATCTTTGTCAACGAGGGGATTGTTTCGGTGGAACTGAGGAAAGTATAAACATCGATAAGAGTTTCTCCGTGGAATAAAACTAACCTCTTCAGAGCTTCTTCATCTAGAATCGTCCCAATGGCTTCCAAGACCTCGTCAACCTTTCTGGAGAATTGACGCAGTACATCTGAATTGAATTTTTCATCGTTCTCGTTCAAGCCAATGAGAGCGATTAAGAATGAGCGTTTCTACACGTCACAATTAGAAAAGGTACAAATGCTAGCACGAGTGCAACGGACCGTAAGGTAGTGGATCTTCCTTTTTCTAGTATCCAGCGGACTAGTTTCTTCTGCAAGGTATACAGTGGATGTCATGAAATCCCGTAGGGGCGCTGGTGAGGATGAACGCGATCTCATTTCCGGAGACGAGGAGGGGATGTCGAGGTCAATGTCAACGCCGGACACAATACTGACATTGTCCAACTCAGAAGTAGTGAAGTATCCCTTTTCTGGTTCAGGCCGAACCTCCGAGGAAGGTGATTCATCTGGGATAACATGCTCCGAAGCCATCGCGTCGTCCAAAGCACTCTGATTTATATCCGCGTCAGGGTTCTTGAATTGGGCGTGAGCCGCTTCTCTGTCAGAAACAGACGAACGTTCAGCGTTAGTTTTCGTATCTGTTTGAGTTTCATCCGGTTCTTTCGCCTCTGTCTCCTTTGTACCGTCTACAGGCTTTCCGTTCTTTCCGAAATTCAACCAGCTCCATCTACGGACATCCATATTCATGCCCATGAAGTTAGATCGTGACGGGTCATCCGCTGGGATCTTTTTCTCAGCTTGGTTCGAAGCAGGATCTGGGGGTCGTTTTGGGCGTAATGTACCATCTAGTGTAGTCGAGGGAATAGGTGGCGACGAGGGTAAACTTGCCGGAGAGGGAGGTATGAGCTTTAAAAGATACCGAGTAAGGGATACGGGGAGTCCATTTTCTGAAAAACGAGAGGAGGGTATTACATGACTCGAAATGACAGCTATTGGAATAGCATCGGGTATATCGGTGGAAAGGGTATCTAGTAATGGAAGAATGTTACGATGCATTGGATGCAGTGGAATACCTGTATCGCTGTTCAGTAAACTGCGAGATGAGATACATGCACAGCAGTACGCACCAAGGTGTCGAGCAAAATCCAAACTATCCTCTAGATTCCATGACCATGCCCATACGGTAAAGAATCTTTCTAGTTGTAGTTCTAATGCTTGTTGTCCGATTGTAGATAGAATAGATGTAAATGACCCATGGGCTAACTGCAAAAGACGGGTTCAGCGCAGTCGCCAAAAGCCGTATGATACGCACTTTGAATTGTTCGTATCCTCTTAGGATATCAGCTCGCAAAGCTTGGTCAATCACCGAAGCATCGCTATAGTCATAACTCGGATGCGAAACTTCTTTATCTTTCCCTTTCAAGATGCCCTTGACACCCTTCTCGCCCTTCTCCTTGCCTTTAGATTTGGACGAAGATGTCGCTCTGGATGTCTTTGCAAGTTCCACTCCCTTCCTACTGAATCAATTCACTTCTCCAGCCGATACAAAATGGTCAGACATACTGCATGTATGCAAAAATCAGGTTCCGGGAAGACCATCACCATGCGTCGCGTTTGCGAGTGGATATTCTCGCATCCCTCATCGGAATTGAACATCCTGCAAACGAGGTATTTATTAATGAGAACATGGCTAGCGAAAGTCATGGTTTTACTCGGAAAAGTTGACCAAAGCCTTCGCCAGTCCTACTTGACGCAGCATCCGGTCGCGCGATACTGCGCGTTCTTTCGACGTATAGAACAAAATTTGGGCCTGTTCCTCCGCATCCTCATCATCCGGAATAGAAATAGATGGGCGTAGAGTGGGGTTGTAAATCGTAAGATAGGAGAGGTTTGGAGGAATTCTGTCAGTACTCATGCTTCGAGGTGAGAGACTGCAGTAAATGTTAGACGCTGAAGGCGCCTAAAGTTAAAACCTTAACATAGCCACGACATCAACCATGAGATCGATTCCCGGTCTTTCCAACTTGAACCAGGTCGGAAATCAATGAAGTTCAAATGCTCCGACTCCGTCGCTGGCTGCCCTCGTAGGTTCGCGTTACCGTCGCCAGGTACAACTAATCCAGGAGCACGGATACTGATACAGGACGAACACTGGCTTTGCCTAACACCCACAAATTTACTCTGCGGAATAGAAGAACGGGAGAGGTCTAATCAATCTTGCGAAAATGGTCCTCAGCCTCTATCATCGTATCTTGGCTTCGTAGAAGAGCAACCCAATCAACAGTCGATCTATATTTTATACTTTGAACTGCTTCATGCAAATATCGAGAAACATCAAGAATATCAATTAGATGAACTGCCTTTGGATTCGAAACTGATAGCGAAACTGTCAAGATTTTCTTGTTTTTAGCATCGAGCACATTATTCTGACTTTCCCGACAATGACCGCAATGCCACAATCTGTGAGACCGATACATGTATTGGCCCCACCACTGCAAGGATCAAGTCATTAAACCATTAGTAGTTCCATCTTTCGCTAGGCGCCTACACTCACTTCAAAAAGCAATTGTTGAGATCCCGCATGCATGCATTTCTTGCCAATGTACTCTCTTACCCTTGCGTATACTGCTTCGTCTTTGATTCAATTTTTGTGAAGCTAATCTGTCTATTTGTTCATAGTCTTCATATTCTTCTTGCGACGGCCGTATCCGCATTCAAGATAACCATCGAACAAAATCCACCCATATTTGCCCCTGTTTCTTTAGCGTGGGACTGAAATGCTAGTGATACGAACAGTTTTTGGTTCAACGCACTGGCATTGGGAAGCGGTGGTGTCCTCAACAAAGTGCTTTCGCTTCAGGTAAATGGCACTAGCTCTTTAAATGGCACTTTAAATACTGTCTTCATTCTCGTTGGGTAAATCATATCCCGCCGGGAGCGACTTTAAATTTTATTTGACCAACTCCTTAGACCGCATATTATCCAGGCTATAGATGGCAACAGTGCTGATAGTGCAGTTTTCTTCAACAGCACAGTTCTCAATGCTGTTGACGCAACAAGCTCCGGGACATCAACAAGTTCTGGGTCATCAAGCTGCACAACTTCCACTACTCCTACGTTGGTAAAATTTTCTTCTCTGGCAGATCCCAGCACTGAAGCTTTTTCTCTCGGTATTAGTGTCACTGTTACCGAAACTAATTCGAGCTCTAAAAATACAAATAGCTCTATTGTCATCGGAGCGACCCTTGGAACCATTCTTCCTCTTACCATCCTTGGTGCAGTATTGGCAGTTCTATGTATTAGCCGTCGGGCCGCAAAGCGCGGGGCGGAGGATATGTCTAGCTCAAAGGACTCCTCCCCTAACGCAT